TAATCTTGTATTCTGAGTAGAGGAAGGAAAAAAAATAATTAAGCACAACATTAAAAAAAGTTTTACTTCTGCAAAGTGGTACTCCAAATGGAAGACTACAAAGCCATAGACCAAAACTTTTAAATAATGAGTCAGCAGACTAATCTCTTCAGAATATGGTTCTAATGAAAAACTCTGGGAAGAATGGGATGCAGATGTTCTACGCCTCGCTGCTCTTTTTTGTTTGTCTGTGACAGAATTTAAACACCTGGCTCCCCCTGCTCGGTCTCCAGTCTCCAGAATGCTGGGATCACGAGCCTGGGCCACCTCCCCGTCTCTGAATTTTCAGGTATCTGAATCATCAACATCCCATGGTTTTTTTTGCTTGTCTTCAGTAGCACAAAATGGAAATTCATTTGAAGCAGGCTTAACATCTAAATGTGGGAAAGTGAAAACCCAAGTCCAGAGTGTTCTTACTTCCCACAGACTGTTAGCCAATGCAACGTGGAGATGAGATAAAACAGGATTGTACTCGGGAGACTTCACTGTCTTCCACACCCACATAAACTGTCCTTAAACCTTACCTCTCAGCTGCTCTTCCTGGTTAGCAACAGGGAAGAACACTCTAGAAACCTGTTATCTGATCTACCGCAGCCCGGAGAAAGATCCACTCTCCTACACTGGCAAACACACTCTAATACACAGTCTCTACTTAAAAACAGGAGACGGAGCCGGGCGGTGGTGGCGCACACCTTTAATCCCAGTACTTGGGAGGCAGAGACAAGTGGATCTCTGTGAGTTCGAGGCCAGCCTGGTCTACAAGAGCTAGTTCCAAGACAGGCTCCAAAGCTAAAGAGAAACCCTGTCTCGAAAAACAAACAAACAAACAAACAAAAAAAACAGCTTTGCCCAGGCTAGGCAACAACAGGCAGTCAAGCCTGACAGACATTCTGAGAGCAGTGTTGCAACCCCAGACAGCTCAGTGTTAGCCATTTCATAGCAGAACTCTGGAGACTACAGAAACCAGGAAGAGACCTAGAATCCTTTCTGCCCCTCCAAGACATGGGGCTGACGGCTGAAACATGCCGGCTGATCCACATGCACTTAACCAGTTTTCCAACAAAACGCTTAAGGGATTAAAAAGAAAATAAAAGAGAGAATTCTTCCCTCAACCTAAGTAATACAGCGAAGCAACTTTCTTCATCCATGAAGGAAGCTCTCACACACGTAGGGCTATTTGGCACCGACTTCTCAGTGATACAGAAAGACGGGTGTAGGTTCACAAATGCCATCAGAGCTTTTCATTGTCCTGAGCTGGCAGCCAGAGTTTGGGTCTCTTCTGAGACGGACTGGTTAACCTATTGCCACTACATCTCAAAACCATTCTGCCCAGGAGGGTACATCGCGAGTCAGGCTATTTAGTCAATAAAGTGGGAATTAGTGAGCACTATTAAAAAGAACTGATAAAAAGCTACAGGTCAAATGGACCCGCCATACCTAATGTGCATGCTACACGAAGGAAATATTTCAGTGTACTACAAGACTTTCTAGTAAACCACTACCACATAAATGGATGGGAATGAGCAGCTGGGCTAGAGAGCCTGACACAAGGTACACCTGAGGTACACTTCACTAACACAATCTTCACTACAGTCAGACGTCGGGGCAGGACACTGTCCATCAACTCCTACAAACATCTCACGTGGTTGAACATTTGAAGAAATAGTAATGGAACGATTGTCTGTGCATGGTATTGATGTGTACACATCTGTGTGGGTCTATGCACATACTGTGTGGGAGGGTACGCATGCATGTGTGTGTGTGGACCCAGACATCACTGTCAGCTGTCTTCTTCAGTTACTCCCTGTGGTCTCTCGTTGAAACTGGATACTCTTTAGGCTAGATGGACTAACCAGGGAGTCCCAGAGATCCCTTGGCAAGCACTCTGAAGAGAGAGAGATCTCCCCAAACTCCAATAGGACTGTTCTTATCTTATATCCTAACCCTCACAATAACTCTTTAACATCGCAAGAGCAGCCCTGAGGCCCTAGACACCTAAAATCCTTTCTTAAGAAACACGCTGCCTTTCCCATTAACAGTCTAAATGCAGAGGGTCCTGAACACACTTTTCTTTGTAAAGATTCAGTGACACACCCTATCACGCTCTTTTACGGCCTCACAAAAGTGTTTCCCACACCAGGGAGCTCAGAAGCATTAGTGTGCCTTTGAACAAGCAAATTCCTGTGCTCCTACAGACCTGCAGGATCAGACTCCTCAGAGCAGGCATTAAAATCCTCCACGTTTAACAAGCTTCTGGACCGAGTCTCTCTGGGGCTTAGAGCTGAGAGCTTCAGGGTAACAGCACACCAACCCACACAAAGTTAAGAGAGGGGGGGGAAAATAAAAATGAAAACCAAGGCAGATCCAAGACAAAAGAAAAACCCAAAGTACAAGTCATATGGCAGGAATGTTCATTCTTCTTTGAAGCACGGTGGAAATGGGGCTGTCTGTCCCCGGGCCAGGTCTGCCAGGTGGAAGGGGGAAGCAGGCAGGGAAGCTGAAGCTGGAGTGCGGTGAGGAAAAGGAAAAGAACTCCTTGGCAGCGCTTAAAACAGATTCCTCAGGCCTAAACTGCCCACATGTTTTCCCACAGATCTTCCAGGTCTTCTCCTCTACAAAGCAGAATTCTGTTCAAAAATCTAACGGCCACTTGAAAAACTGAAATGGTGCTTGGCTTTCTAGAACCCAGAACATAAACAAAACCAGTGCAGAGTCCTACAAACTAGCATGTTTAAAAGCCTTAATCCTACCCTATACAATTACGGGAAAGACAGGCAGACAGATATTACCAAGAAAAGGGTACAAAGGGGCAGCAAGGTGGTTCTGCAGGTAAGTGTGCTTGCTGACAAGCCTGACACCCAGAGCTCAAGTCCCAGAAAGAAAGCCAGCTCCTACAAGTTGTCCCTTTACCCCCACACATGAGCCACACCATGGGTGTTCTCCCCGCCTCCTACATACAAAAAGGAACAAAGAAAAATAAAAATAAAGTTCTTTCGAAAAGAATGACAAAAATAAAAACTATGTTTTAATTATAGGAGGAACAAAGTAGGGTATGACATTTCAGTTTACACACTGTTGAGGTTTTGATTTGTTTTTAAGAAAGAAAACAAGGAAGAAAGGGAGGCACAAATCAACATCCCATGTGGCGGGGGTTGTCACTTCCTGCAACTACTTTACACTACACTTGATAAGGATTTGCAGCTTCTTAAGCTCGGGTTTCAGGATTCCCCTACACAGACACTTCCTTTACACTTGAGGTCAAACAGAAAACTGAAACACACCAAGGCTGACAGGCTTCAGCAGCCAAACCACTTCTGAGAAGGGCTCGACCTGCCTGAACAGAAAGGCAGGTCAGCAGCCATTGGCACAGCACAGAAAGAAGCCACAGAGGAAAAGAAAAATGTATCCGCTAAAACAATTTTACAAGCTCCTATTTTCTATTGTCCAATGCCCTTCGAAACTCATTCCAAGACCACTAATTGCAGGTGCCATTAGTCAGCACAGCTGATCCCACAGCACAATCTTAACAAGCCTGGTGGAGATGTGATGAAAACCACTAGGAACTCACTGCTAAGTACGGATGCTCCTGCATCTATCTAACTAGCACACAAGATGCTCCACTGGGTACCAAAGGGGCAGGGGGAGACAAAACAGCACACTGAGAGTTTGTGGCATCTCTCGGGTTTACATAATCCCCCTCTCTGTAGCTTTTCATCTCCACAACCTGCAGACACTGAAAGTCACTGACTGGAGAGATTTTTATCTTGCCCTTTTATGTTATTTCTTCCTACGAAGAATGGTCGTTTCTAATAGAGAACACGTTTTAAGAATCTGTGAAACTGCCCTAATCACTCGCATAAAGCGAAAAACAAAACCTAGAACACTGCCAGAGAAATCAACAGACTAGCAACCTCCAGAAACAGAAGTACAGTAGCTTTTAAGGAAGGCTAACTTACCCATTCCGCCACTTTCCCGTTTAGTGGCAACGGGAAAGTTATTAACTGTATTTTCTGCATTAAATGGAGATCTCTCTGTACTCCCCAAGGCACTGTGTGAGCAACAATGTCTCCAAAGTCTTGGGAAATCTAACAGTCTATCCTGGTCCTGAATGAATCTCACAGGCCCGGAATCTGCCATTATCATCCAAGTCTACTTAATATCTCACGAAACTCTTATTTTAATACGTAGAACGTGAGTAGCAATAGGTCCCTGGGAGGAGTTGTGAAAAAAAAAAATATGTGCGTGAAAATACCGGGTAACTGAGACAGTAAAGACACAAAGTACTGACTTTGCATCCATGTATTCCTGCCTAAAAAGAAGCAAGGCAAAAGTTCTATCCGTTCTGTATTATAGGAAGTGATTGTAAGTTGAGGCTGACGACTTCCACCAAGTTACGGCTGGACACATCAATCTGAAACAGTTCAATCGTCACCGTCACTCGTTATTTAGGTATAATGGCACTGACCATCATGTGTACTATAGCTATGAACACAGCAGGAAAAAAAATGAGATAATACAAACAGCGCTCATCAAAGACATAAAACACCAACGGGCTAGCTTGCAAAGGGAGAAAGTGGCTTTGTAAGTGGCTCCGCAAGTGGCTCCAGCTGGGCAGAGCCTTTAAACTTCACAATGCAGTCAAGCCGGCCCTGCACGGAGTTCAAGTCCAGCCTTGCAAGTCCCATCCCATCCCGTTCTCCGGGAACGCTCAGCCTGCGGGATTCCGGCCGCCAGGGGCACACCCGGCTTCCAGGTGCATGCAGCTCGAGCCCGGGGACGATCGCGACCCGGAGCCAGGTGCAGACGCCGCTGGCCGTGCGGGCCGCGATGCTCGCACTGGCCGGACCCGCGGCGGCGGCAGCAGCCGGGACCCGCGTCGGGATGCCAGGCAGCAGGCTTGGAGCTCCTCTCCTGCCTCGGCGCCCAGCCGCGCCCAAGCCCGCCTCCTGCCCGAGCCTCACCCGCCAGCGGCCGCGCCGCCGCCAGTCCTGCCGGAGGCCGACGGGAGCCTCCTCCTCCTCCTCCTCCTCCTCCGCCGCCGCCGCCGCCGCCTCCGGCTCGCGCCTCGGCTCCCTCCGGCTCGTCCCGCCGGGCCTCGCGCTCGCCCGCGCCTAGGAGGAAGCCAGCTCGCCCCAGGCCTCCTCCCACGCTGCCCGCCGCCGCCGCCAATGGGCCCCGCCGCCGCGCCGCCGCGCACGCCCTCTGGCGGTGGAGGACCGAGCCGGCGCCGTCACCCTCTCCGGTCGCCTCTGTGATTCCAGCCCCGCGTTGCTCAATCTGCACTTGCCACGTGGGAGCTGCCTGCTGCGTCCTCAGCTAGGAGCTGAGTGACTCCCCGGGAGGAGGGAAAAATGTGTCAGCGCCTCCGCCCTTAAGTCACACGTACGGAATCGCAACCTTTGAAATGAACGGCCCCCTCCTAGACTTGCATCAGACTAGGACCAGACATAATCTTCACTTGACTGCTAGAAACTAGGTAACTGATCATAAAAATCCTATAGGCAGGAGCATCACAGCGAATTCTGCAGCCCTGAGTGGTCTATCCAAGAAAAAAAGTATTGTTTGTAAGCCAATTTCTTTTTTCAAATTATTAGCAATATGACAAATGTTTTTCCTCTTTTGTTAGGAACTTTATTTTTTTGTAAGATTGTATGGGTCACTGGGAAATTAACACAAATTTTAGTATGCACAATCTGAGAGTACAATATTATATCATGCTTCAAATCCATATCTGAATAATTAGCAACTATTAACTATTATTTCTTGGGAAAATTTCATGGTTGGATAATTTATAGTAGCAAAAATTAAACTGCAATGAAGTAGTAGGGTTAGACTATGGCAATTATTTTAACATATTTTAGCTTTCCTTCAAAAATATGAAACATGCAACCTAAAACAGAGTTTTGGGTTCTGATGCTTATGACCCAGGAAAGGGAAAGAAACAGGAAACAGCTGAGCACCTTCTAACTGCCCAATACATTTCTAGGTCTTTGAGTCACTGTTCTATTGCTGTGAAGAACACCATGAACAAGGCATCTCTTGAAAGCATTTAACTGTGAACTTTCTTACAGTCCACGATCATAGCAGAGGGAAGCAGACAGGCATGGAGCTGGGGTAGTAGCAGAGAACTTTATGTCCTGATCTTCAGGCACCAGGTAGAGAACAAGAAACATTACTGGGCCTGGCAAGGGCTTTTGAAACCTCAAAGCCCACCTCTAGGGACACACCTTCTCCAGCAAAGCCACACCTCCTAATTCTTCCCAAACAGTTCCACTAACTGGTGACTAAGCTTTCAAATATGTGAGCCCGTGGGGGAGGGGTGGCTTTCTCATTCAAACCACCACTTTCTTAAGGCACATGATCTCATGCTTAGGCAAAGTAGAAATCTGTGTGTTACTTTAATGAATCAATGAACCAAGATTTAAAAATTAGTTCTAAATCACTTGCTCAAAAAGTAAGTTGTGCACTTCCATTTGATTCCGCTCAGCCACAAATAAGAAAGCATTTAGCTTTTACCTTATCACAAAGCTGTGGCCATGTATATATGCCATCCCTCTACTTCCTGTATCCCATTGAAAGAATTTAGGAAGCCTCTTGAGTAGGAATTTCCTGTTTGGGAACGAGCTTTTTCCTCTATAATTGAACAGACCAGTAAGGAAACTATAGTTGCCACATTCTTAGAACCCCACTCCTGAAGCAGTGTTTCTTCTTAAAGGCTGTTTGATCTCCTATTCCCAACACACAATAAGATGTAGCTCAAAGTCCTTCTGGTCAGCAATAACTTTAAGAATACTGAGTCACAACCAACATTGTTTTGGTTTGATTTGTTGAATAAAACAGAGCACAACCATTCCCAAACACATGCAGCCTGTACTCTGAGAATCTGTGTGTCTGTGGATATGTCTTGTGTTATAATGTAGACTATTTATTTCTTACTTAGGACAGGTTGTGAGTTTTTGTTTTTAAGTCAATAAATCACTCCTTCAGAGTGGTTCTGACTTAGCCTGTTTTGTGGAAAGGTCAGACTAACTTCCTGTGTTTTATTTGTCAGGGTTACGGAGGCAGGGGAAGTATTCGGGTTTAATGAGCACCAGTTAAGGAAAATGCCAGACACTTTATAGCTCTGGGAGGTACTGAACAACCTGGTGTTCCTGTGTGTTATGACGGGTGATGATCACTTATGTTCTAGAGCTAATGTTGCGTGTCTACTTACTACGTGCCAGCACAGGTCTAAGATCTTGGCATCTGCCCATTCATTTAATCCTATAAATACAGAGAAGGAAAAAAAAAAAAAAAGAACAGAAGAAAACTATGCCAGAGTTGAATTGCTAGGACCTCACAGGACCAAGCTGCAACACACGCGAGTAAATTCCTAGCCCCTCCCATTTTCTTGCCAAAGAAGAATTTTTATGGATCAGGCATGGTGCCATATACCTTTAATCCCAGCACCTACTTTAGAGGCAAAGAGAGAGAGGTCTTTATGAGTTCAAGACCAGTATGGTTTACATAGTGAGTTCCAGGACAGCCAGGACTACATAGAGAGAGTCTGTCTCAAAAAAACAAAACAAAGGAGGAGAAGAAGATTCATCTTCTATTAAATGGGTGTGGGTTTTGAGGTAAAACTATAATCTGTAATTATAAAGATTCCATCATATTATAAAATATAAAAATTAGAAAAATCCTCAGGATCTTAGTTAACTGGAATAGTCCATTTGGAATCATTCTTCTGTATTTATAATAGATTATATATAAATATGACCACCAAGGATTCCGGTCATCATGTAAAGTAACTCAGACCAGGATACTAAATGATGAGAAACTACCACATGGGAGGGCACGGTACGTATCACGCTGGGGCAATGGTGTGGGTGTGTCGTATTGCGCCTCCAACCTGCTATGGTTTGTGTGCTATGGCCCCAGAAACAAGTGTTAAAATCCAGTAGGCCTACCCAGATGAAAGAACCCACAGCATCTTGACATCACAGACATTTGTTAAGCTCTGACATGGTTTTTAAGATAGTAGTCAATAATGTAACCACAAAGAATAAGGCTTATTGAACGGTGAGGAGAGCTGTCTGGGGATAGGAGTAGGATCACTCTAAAATATAAAAATATGTTTAAATGAATTATAGACACAACTGTGAGAGATGGCCAGAAACTCACTGTGCTTAAAAAAAAGTGGGAGGCATGATAGATTAATGCGAAATACAGAGTAAAAGTGGCAAGCTTTATAGTCATACTGGGTAAAATATAAAACTCAGGTGTAGTTTGAAACTATGATTCAGAATTTTTATAACAAGGTGAACTCAGAATTTTGAGCTTTGTTTTTGCTCATAAGAACAATAATTATAGAGAGGCTAGAACCTTGACCCTTTTCATAGCACTGAATTTTGATAAGTCCACAAACTAAGTGAAATAAAAGGCAGATGTATATAACAATTATTAAGATTATTAATGGATCCCTCAAAATTACTCTGTAATTTTGTCCCATAGCATATTACCCTCCCTTTTAACCTCATATAGTAGCTCATAACTATCCATAACTCCAAGTCCAGGGACTTGGACTCCCTCTTTTAACCTCTGAGGGTACGAAGCATGCATGTGATGCACGTAGAAACATGCAATGTATATATATATATATATATATATATATATCTGAAAATTTATATATATGAATAAAATACTGTAAAAAGCCGAATGGTCCTGTGCCACTGCAGGTTGGTATGCAAGCCAGGAACCGGGCCCAGAGACTTAAAAACACACACAGAGACAGACACAGGTCATCCTTGAGACAAGACTGCCCACTTTATTGTGCTCAGGGGCAGCTTATATGGTGCACTGGCCACGCCCCAGCTCTCGGGATCTTTCAGCTGCAGACCCATCAGAGCCCACTCCACCATCAGGGGCTCGAGCTCAGAGCAGCTGCAGGCTGCTCAGAAGAGAGGAAAAAAAGCTGTTTACCAGAAATTCAGGGTCTGGGGGTCCACAGCCCCCAACAGCTCCCAACAAAATACATCTAAAAATATTGTAAATTTGTGTTTGTCGGATTTTTTTAAAGCGAATGCCGTAAGAATTTTCTTTGCCATGAAACAAATAGGAGAATGTGAATGCACCTTTGCCATTCACGTAACTCTGAGTAAATGCAATTAGATAAGCCTTGAGTCAGCAAAAACACTTCTGTCCACATTCAAAAAAAAAATGGCTAGAAAAGCCTTACAGAAAACACAACTGAACAAATATTGAATAAAGTTGTGTTATTCTAAGACATAACTGCTTAGGTCTGTGACTTCATCGCTGAAGACGTAGTGTGGGAACCCGTTAAGCCCAAAAGGACTCGGGCTGACTGTGCTGTTTTTATTAAACATTAACTTCTCTAGTTACATTCAATTGCAATGTGCTGTTTGCTCTGAGAGGCAAGATAGTAGGAATATGTGTAACAAAATACTACCTAATTGTGAGACTCCCATTAACATTGTTCTCTCGTGAATTACCGGCAGATCAACAACAAGGTCGGGGCCCAAATCCCGTGTGTTCACAACAGGGCTAAGAAAGACACAAGTAAGGAAAGAGAGATAAAATAAAACAAAGCAGAACTTACTGATAGATGGCCGGGTTCCTTCTGTACCTTTTCCACTGGGCATTCCCTACTCTGAACTTTGGGGAGCCTTTTGTCATTAGTACAATGATCATCTGTCCCAAGAAATCAGACGGAAATACTGGAGCCCTGGATAGCTGCATTGACTTTCAAATGCTGGCATGATTTCATGAGTGGCCTATCTTACTTACCTCAATGCAAATCTATGACCTAAATATAGAGCCGGAATCACCTTGCTTCCCTAGTTGCTTTTTAAACTGCTTTACAAATTCTAGGTTAATATTTATTGCAGTGTCTTCATTGCCTCCACTCCCACGGTGAGGGAATTCACATCTATGTTCCTCAATGCTTCTTCTGATTCGCTCCTTCCACGCTGTTGCTTTAGACTCAGGGAATCCAGTGCATTTTAGTCACTTTTTTTTTTTTTCTGTCACGGTGAACAAAATACC